GAGTTCTCACCTCACCTCAAGAGGGAACTCCTGTGTGTCTCCCTTCTCCTCCAAGTCCCTTCCTTTTCACCATAAATTTCCTCAACACTACTAAATGTAAGAAAAGATTTTTGTAGTTTTATCATTTATCCAAATGCCAATTCATAACTCTATAAGTTGCTTAGTAAATTATTAGCCTTTATTTTAGTGGTATGTAAGAACAGATAGCTATCATTTGCAAAGAATAGTGAGAGACCTTCAATGCTCGTCCACATATCCTTACCCGATTGAGCAATTGATGTATCTCTACTTCCTTAATCATAACTGTAAATCTTTCGGCACAGCGAATGAATAGATAAGGCAACAGTGGATCTCCTTAACACAAGCCTAGACGGTAGGTTAAGAACATTGTTTTTATGTTGAATATTTCTGTTATAAATGGGCAGATAATGAAAACGTGAGAGAGTTGGAGAACAATTTCTCCTCTTCTCCTAGTTGGATGAATGTCTACACCTTTCCAAGTTTATGTTTTATATCATGTTCTAAGTTCAGCTTTTCTCCTACTCTCCTCCAAGTCCTTCCTCTACCTCTTTTTTTACCTCAAAAACCCTAACAATGATGATCTCATCTGCAATTAAGGATTGGATTTGTTAGAAATGGAGAGATTAAGGAATGGTGAAGGTTTGGAAGAATTGTTCTTTTATTATTTAAAAAATACAGGTTAGTAGCTACGTGGCGTGCTGGCCTAACGTTCGCAACATACATAATTTTCCAACTAGTAACAGGGGCAAAATTTAGTGCTTAATCCCTAGAAAAAATTAAAATGAGATTGCAACAGCAAAAAATACTGCCACAGCCAACACAAAATGATAGTTTAGTACAATCATTAATTAAAGATTTATTCTATCATCATTATCTTCTTTGAGCAAACATGACTTAAAGCTCATGAGTCATTCCAACCTTTAGCAACCGCTGCTGAGGAATGTGAAATACTTTCTGAATCTTTCTGGAGTTCTTTTGCAAGAAATTGTAAGCATAATCTTT